AAAATAAACTTCGCTATGCTATTGCCAGCTTTGTGAACAGATTCATCATTTGTAGTGTTTAATAAAATTCATAGAAAAAATTCAATGAATTGTCATTCCAGGTTCTTTCTGCAATCAAAAATTTCGGAAAAAAACATATTGAGAGACAAAAGTAACATATATATTTCAATTGTTTTTTATTTACAGGCAATCAATAAAGGATGTCCTTAAATATGCGTAACTGTTTAAAAAGTTATATAAAATATATATTAAAATCACAAATGTGGGGCATCTGAGGCCTAGTTGTTGATTTCGTTGAACTCATACCATTTGCCTCTTACCGCTGTGGGTTCGAATCCTACGCCAGGGGCGTTTTTGAATATTCATGTGAGGAAACTACACAGAATTGTTTACAGAACGTAAGTGTTTTTTACTCGGCGGCTGCCGTTCCAACCTAAAGAAAAGAAATACAGATACATGTACATGTAATGTATATAAAAAATGTGTTCCCCTTTTTGTGATTAATCGTTTCTAATCACCTTAATTATCATGATACACGTATATACTTTTTTATGTTTAATTAAAATGTAAAAAGTAAGTTCTGCGTTTTTTCCTTACCGTACAACAAAACACCGGCTTTTTGCTCTTTCTGTATATAAAGTGTATCCATTTTCGTAAAAAACAGCATTTTCAAGCCCCTGACACCTAAATTTTTTTTGCAACGATAAGTTAGTATCACTTGAATTTGCATGTATCAAATATGTTATAATATTTTGTGCATTTTTCATGATAAGACAACCGGTGAATTTGCTGGTTTTGTTTAGACTCTGACGTTTTTCTCAGCTTTATCGTTTTTTTTTAAAAAAAAACATTTAACATCTTCGATTGTATGAATTATCATTATATTATACCGTAACGATGAATTTTTAACATGATATACTTTTCGAATTCAAGATTAGTGCCTTTATGAATCAACGAAATTTCTAAATTTCGAAAATAAATATATGATTAAATCATATTTTGGTATGTTTTTAGTTTGATAATGCAATTTAATATTGTATTTGTTTCTAGTTTGGTTCCCTGCCTACATTTACTACGGAAAGATAGCATAGTGTAAGGGGAAATTCCAGACTAATTTATTGTCTGCTTGACTTGCCTGGTCATCAATGACACATGCTTGTAGTATTAAATGGGATTTATAACGGTAGTGTTTCCACAAATCAACATTTCCAAAAGTAAACGAAATGTAATGATAATGATAACGTCTACGAAAAGATTTCAATATATATCGATTTAATTCAACATTTTATATTTAACTAATAAAAGAAAGAAATTAAACATTAGATTATTATTCTTATGAAAAATGTTAAATGCAATGGGAAGATATCAGAAGATATATTTTTTTAAATTGTTTGCTGATTCTACTTGCTTATCAAAGATCTTTGTAATACAAATGTCATACGAGTTTATTCGTTTTGCAACTTTAATTATCATCTGTTTACGTTGTTACTGGGCCTTTTATGTCTCAGAAAAGCTTTTATTTTCATTTTTTGAGAGCTTTTCAAATTTGGAGTGATTCTATTATATCCAAAAAGTTACTCACTGGACAATTACCCAAATCACATGTTGTTTTTTGGGCAGTCAGTACAGGTATTGTGAAGAAGTATTGTACATGGAAGTCTAAATATTACTTTGTTTATATTTTGCTACTTTTATTTAAGTTATTTAACATTTATTGATACTTTATGCGGGTAGAAAAATTTCTTACATTCTCTAAAACTATTACTTCTGTATTATAATAAAAGTCATGATTGCATTTTCTAAAGAAGTAAAAAAATATAATTTTCGTTATAAATATAAAGTAAGGTCAGCTCATTGACACAGTACACCCGTGATAGAGTAATTTCGAAAATGAAACCAACAGGTGTAACGATTGGAATTTTAAAACAATCCTACAAAAAGGTAATGACTTAATCTATATGATTTGAAAATATCTTTTAGTCATCACTGTGTAAAACAATCATTTGAGTTCGTTAAGGATGCGTCGATTTTTGATGTGTTTCTAAACTATTCACTTCCAATTTAATGAATTTTGATGCAAACTAATATTGAACTTAATTAAGCAGTGTTGATCTTCAGTAACGGGATATTTGTTAAAGAGGATTGAGAAATTCAAGAAATTTCCCGACTTCTTCATCAATTAATTTCAATCACGTATAAATAATTAAAATAAGTATATTTATTTGTAGATATTAACGTAGAGACAAAAGTCTGCTGACAATTTTATTGCTCTAAAAGGAGATTTATTCCTCTTTTTCTCAATCTGTTTTGCATAACAAAACGTGACTGTAATAGTCATAAGCATATATATTGCATTTTCCCTTCTTTCGTCCTTTTACTTAGATAGTGAAGTAGCTAAATGGACTGTAACCAAGGGATTATATAAACGATTGTTTGGACTATTTAACAATTTTTAAAGTTATATCAGTTCATAACAGGTTGACCATATTCCATGTTATAGACAATCGATAGTTTTAATATTTAAATTTGACTAAATTGGTAATTATAATAATGCTATAATTGCGCATATAAATATTTAACAATACAACGCAAACAAACTTGATTCATTACTATAAACTAAACACAGCCTTTTTGTGTACTTCAAAAATTTTAGAAAAGAAATGCTAACAGTACACTGCTGTCATAACGCAAATGTAAATATCATTGGCCAGAAATTCGTGTTTCCCGCAATTAAAAACGAAAACGATGTACTATTCGTGGTGTTAGGCACGTGTCAGAAACATTACGGTAATTAAGTGTTTAATGAATTGATTGATTCTTTCCTTCATTATTTGATTTAGTTTAATAATATTTGACGTAGCGAAATAATTGAATTTTAGATGGGTATTTTTTGTTCTTGTTTTCCAAGCTTATCGATACACTTTGCTGGTTTCTTGTAAACTAAATTAATCAATCAATTATCGGTTCTAAATGTACATATCATAAATTGGTAACATAGTAAAATATATCCAGATTTAACCGTCAGACAAGTTAGCTAAACAATATTATAAGAAATAAAAGCATTTAAACACATGCATTTCAGTGTGTAATAATGTAAAATAATTGTCCGTGTTATATTCGATTCTTTGTAAATAATATTACAAATATTATGACAAAAGCGACAATAAACGTGTTTTTTATTCTTTTGTTATTAATTTTATATTTCGTTTTCGAATGATACAGTAACAATGGGTACGAAACAACGTTTTAACCCATAAACACAATTATGCCCCAGTGAAACTTGTGTCAATTTCTCCAACAAAGGATGTGAATAGAATATTTGAAATTTTCTGCAGTTCCTGCTGACTTAAGTAAGCAATATTTGATCAAGTGTTAATCAATATGAATAAAATACATGGTAAAATCCGTTAAACGTATGTTACAGTTTAGTTAGATTAAAAAACACTGGAGACAAGGGCAAAATTTTCATTTCTTTGTTTTGATTTTTTCATTCGTTATTCCATAAATGTCGTCAAAATAAATACATTAGGCAGTCATAGGAACAAAACTTTTTTTCTTATAAAGAATAAAATTGTGGTTTCATAACTTGACCCTCGTGGGTCAGGTCAGAGCGTTAAGATTTCACAATAATTCCCACAGTGAACTCTTGAAACGTTAAATAACATGTCAAGTGAATGATTTAGACTTGTTTTAATGATACGATATTCACAATATCTGTTATTGTAGCTTCCAGTGTTTGTTCAAGTCACATGGCTTGTTTTAAAACTACTCATTCATTCTGTCGGAGTCTAGATTTCGTTCAATATATCTAGATATATTTACCTTCAACATGTTCAAACTCAAAATATATAGAATTTAAACAAAAATTCATGCTTGGCTTTACAAATGTCATTAAGCGTGATTTGAGTACATTAAATCATTTTAATATTTTTATCATTTATTTGCCTGAGTACCCCCTTTAAAAAGTAGACATTTTAAATTAGAAAACAATTAGTTTGTACAAAAGTGTCTTTTAAAAAGATTAAGATAAAAAAGTTTGATATGTTTCAAAAATATTTTATTCAGTATTTCAAAGAGTTAAAACAAATATGACAGTTTTAGATAAATCTTAATTGTTTGGTGTACAGTGGTGCATTTAATAAAAAAAACCTAATACGGCATGAAGAACAATTCAATAAATTACATGATAATTACATACCCGTATACTGTGCATAGAGATCTAAAGACAGTTAAAGCTAAAACAATGTTTTATTAACGAATAAATGTTGATATATTGTAAAACAGAAAGCAAATAATCAACAAATAGTTGGTTCCAATTAATATTTTCATAATCAAATTGCACGTCTTATCATATGAGATAAATATATAGCAAACTTTTGAATATTGTACATGTATAAACTTGCATCAAAACATTCAAAATGCACGAAAAAAAGGTTGCTTGAAATACCGCTACGTAAATTATGATTGAAAGTTTCTTATAGAATAAACTAGTACATGTACTCTATTGAAGAAATATATTTACACGTTTAAATATCCCCTTATTCAAAAAGTCATATTATTCAAAGTACAGTGAAATTTGAGAAAACCGGACGCTGAGAAAATCGGAACTCTCTAAACACCGGACGAATAATTCAGTCCCAAATGTTCCCTTCTTTAAACTATTGTATTAAACATTGACAATACCGGAATCTGTAAAAACCGAATATCGGACGGTTGATAGGGGACTACAAAGTCAATTATATAGACAATTACCCTGACAATACCGGACAACGAAGGTGTGAATAACCTTATGTACGTGTCTAATACGCTAACTGTGGGGTAGCGGACCAACGATTGTCTGGTTTGTTTAATTATGTCTCATTTCACAGTTTGAATTATTTTAAGGTATAGATGTTACCTTTTACATAAATGCCAAAATGCACGAGGCATTGATAAGTTAAAATCAGTTGACGAGAACTGTCTATAATTGACAAATTTAAATTAATTAAAGACAGTGAAACTTTGCCAAGACCTACTTTAAAATTCTTTATCTGACAAATATGTTATAGGCAATATTTACAATTGAGGCATTATTATAAACAAACTAGGTAAAGTACATGTATGTTTGTTAAATCATTATCCATTACCCAAATGTAAACATATGCGGGTGTAATCGGACTTTATCGTTATGCAGTAACTGCTGTTCGTTTAAATCCAAAATTTTATTGTATTTATATGCAATAATTGGGACAAACGCAATTAAACCATATTGTATAGTATTTTATCATTTCTTTATTTAGCAATATACTTACTCATAATCATGAAAATGCAAAAATACGTTCAGCATCCTTTGTAAGTCATTGCTCGGTTTATATGATCCTGAACAGCTGAAGGGGACATTGAGAATACCGGACCGCTGGGAAAACCGGACAAAATCCTCGGTCCGAGAGCCGTCCGGTTTTCTCCACTTTCACTGTACCAATTTAATAGATTACAATGTACTTGTAAAACTGTATTTTTATCATACAGTTATTCTGTAAAGACATACAATTATATAAAAAAATTTATATATTTCACATTTGATAATCTGAGGCTGCACCAAGATAAATCAAGAACCCAATGGATGGAATATACGTCAAAAAGACCATTGCATAAAATAAAAGCTTATCAATGGCATGACTCACATCTTGCCACGTTATTGTTTGACCATCAGCGTCGTTATTCTCGTCCTGATTTACTTTTAAGATGTGTGTCTTGGTTGCTTTTGTCTTATCATGTGTTGGTGCATTACCGTATTTAATGTCCTGAATACCCTTGTCCCTGTCTTGTTCATCGCTCACTTTGTTATTTCTAGTACAATTTGAAAACATAACGAGTGAAATATGCCATGGTCTTTTGGGAACATTTTCCTTGCGGTGATATACAGCTAGATTAAGTATGGCCAAAACAGTTCCTATAACACTCACACATATTCCAGCCAGAATGTAACAACACATTAATGATATCGGTTCCGAGGACTTTGGCATTTCATCAGAAACTACAGTCAAGAAAACTGCTAAGGATAACATTATTGTAATTGCATAGCTGACGCGTTCACCAGACTCGCTAGGTAACAGAAAAACGAGGCAGGTAAGTCCGGCGATTCCATTGATTGGTAAAATAATGGTTAAAACATAAAAGAGTGATTGCCGTTTCAGTTTAAACCGAAATATCGCCATTGAAAATCCAACCGTGTTTATAGTGTAGTATGATGTATCTTCAAGAACCCATTCAGCGTTTGGGGTAAATGACTTAGTTTTTACCCCATCAATTATCGTAAATAATAGTTGGTCCGTTGTATAATCTAAGGGGAAAAATCCGACATCACATATCTGTTTGTCGAAGGGCCAAAACTTCATATTAAATCCACATGAACTTTTCAAAACAGCGCCTGGATAAAACAGTGCGAACCCGCTTGGAAAGAAGATTACATGATTATTAACCGAGCCCATTGTAGCAAATTCAATAGGCGTTCCAAGTGAAATGGAAGGAGTCCAGGCTTCACTTGTTGAAATAAGAATTTTAGAAATGCCACCATAATCAGCAGGATCCCATTGCATCCGCTCATCTATCCACACACATTGAGTTGCAACTGTTATAGTGATCACACCCGTCGTCGATTTCAGGTATTCCGAACAGATCAAGCGTTACATTTACATTTACCACATGCGATTGATTATTTATCGGTCGTACATCTTTATGGTAGTTTGCTAAAAGATCCGATCTTAAACGTGTAGCATTTTCATAAGTTTGACTTGAAACAGTCCCAAATATTGCGAACACAAATACGTTTAAAAACGCGAAAATATGCAGACGTTTCATATCCATTTTACAAACAGTCCGACGACGAAGAAAAAACTGTACATTCGTTTATTATTATAAACACTTTTCCTTTATAATTATTATAGAAAATCAATGCGTTATTTCAATAAAACAGTTGTAGTGTTTTACCCTTTATTGGACCATAATTTGCAACCCTATTTGAAATAATTATGATCGTTCATGCATATAATTTAACTGATTAACTACAAGATCGGTCTTTTATTATGAGTCTATTAATTTAGGGTAGTCATTATCTGCTTTAAGATAATATTAAATATCTGTTATAAAGATAGTTAAAATACGAGTGACCGAAGGTAAACACTTCCGTATTATTGTATGAACGCGTGAATTTAATCCCCTTTCAAATAGTCCTGGTATTGTATAAATGAATAGCCTAACATACTTTTTATACATAAATTTAAAAGTGACCAAAAACTAAGTTGTAATAAAAATATTTCTTTTTGTAATGTATACGCCCTTTCTAATTTATGAATTTCCATGTCAAAAGAACTTAAACAAATAATAACATATTGGTCAAACCATACTTAAAGTGACTTTTGAATTGTAATTGTTGTTAAACTGTTTTTGTGGTGAATACGTCACTCAATTTTTGAAGTTACATTTCTGTTTTAATATGTTCCATAACTTTTTATTCTATGGTCATACTTTTTTACGTGGTCATAAAAATCTTTTGTTTACTTATTTAGAATGTATAATCATTCAATTACTATCAATTCAATCATTCAATTTTGTGATTTTTAGTTCTGGATATGATTGGACTGATGAAGTATTAAACGAAAAACCCGTGATAAACGGCACATAAACGAACTAAAATGAACCAAACCAGTAATATAATGGGATACGGTAGAATATTTATTCAAAGTTTATACATATCCTGATAGTGCAATCGAATTAGTCAAGATTTTATTTAAATATTGCATCTTTTGAGTTTGAGATAGTGTAGTTCAATTTAATATAGTGTTTTAGATACGGAAATTATAAATTTTTACTTAAATACGCAACCAACTATTAGTTTAAAAAAATCATTAGTTAAATAATCATATTTAAAGCATATCATACCATAAAAAAAAAGAAGTTACCTCTCTGGCGTGGGTTCGATCCCCGGGAGATGCTTTGGTAGTTTAGCACGGAGGAAGGTAGTCTAGTACTGGTGTTACTCTCCAGGAACGATGGTTAGGAACCTACCCGCCTATATTACTGAAATACTGTTGGAAAAAGGCGTAAAAACAAACAATCAAACAAACACACAAACATACAAAAAAAAAAACGAAACAAAGGGGCCTAGTTACAATTTTTAAAATTTTGTTCAGTATATCAGCTTACTTCAAAAAGTCCAACCTAAATTATATATTAACAAACGTTTTATGTTAAACTAAATTCGCAGGGAGTCTTTCTTTATCAGGAACGTTTATGCGATCGAAATAGACTTTGTTCAATCGTAATTCTGGTTTGTACGTAAACAACGGATAGTATTTCTTTCATTGATTTCTATACCCTCCCCCACACTCCAGCACTAATTATTACTTTTACATTAGGTGGTCCGGCTTAACATGAGTCAACCGTTGTAGTGTTCAATATATTACACAAAAATGAAATTTGATCATTAGTGTATTAAGACATTATATATTTTTTACACGTGACAGATTTTAGATGAAACCTAAGCAGAATACAAGAAGTATTTTTTATCAACTGCTAAAAATAACTGATTGCTTCAAAAACATTATTTTTTCCATGCACACCCGTGAACCGTTATCCGTAACCACCTCACTTTTTATATTTCTTGCAATCATTTGAGTTAATATCATAACAAACCCAAAACAACACAAACATTGTATTTTACCGTATCAACTTTTGGCTAGTTCTTAATTTATCAGAAATAGTAAAAACTTAGTAACGTAAAAATGTATGAAGCTTATGAATTCACCCCAAAACACCTCTCGTTAGTAGAGCAATCTAGAGAAGGCGTATGTTTTCCCTGTAAATTAGATATGGTGAAGAAGATACCTTAAAATCTCGATGTATGACCTTATTCAGAATATTCTTGACCGTTGCATTATAAAAGCAATAGGTGTGGGTGATATAGATTACTTTTACGTTATCTTCTGCTGTTAGCAGGTTTATAAGGATGGCCACATGCTAATGATTATGACAACACTATATCCTTAACCATCAATGCTCCATTTCAAAGTGAATTGTCCGACATTTCAAAGTGAATTGTCTGTCATTAGCATACTAGAAATTAAGCATTGTTAACCGTGCGGAAAGCGCTATGATGGTTTAAAAAAACTTAACATTTTTCTAGTAAAACAGCAATTAAGTAATCTTAATTTTGCTTGTAATAAGAGAAGAATGTGCCTACATGCAAACAACAATATATTGATAACGTCACACTCAGAGTTAATCACAAGTAATTTCTATTGATATTGATTTCATAGGCCAGACTTGTAAATTTGATATTGCACCATTAATACAATAAACAAATCATTAGTTGTACAAACAAGCAAACCATTTAAGATTAATCGATATATTAGTAAAAGCATTTCAAGAACTAACAATATATTTTGATTATTGTTAAGTTCTTGGGCAAGATAAATATTTGTTTAAATATTTAATATCTCATTTTCAATTTCAGAGCACACCTATGTTTTTAACTTGAAACCACAGATTCTATTAGTTTAATACCAGGTTGTTACTTTGAAGATTTTATAATCACCATATGATCATATAATTACATTATTGATGAGTAATCTATCATTTACCATCTAATAGTAAAGTCTGCTATTGTCGGTGAATTAGAATAACAACAGATTGCTTTATTACATATTTAATCAAACCAAATTACAACATTGGTGTTATGTTTGATGCCATTTAAGTTAATATACATTATATTATTATTGCACCAGATGAAAAACTTTTACAAATAATAAAAATAGAAATACGTTAAATATCATTTATTTGATTACATCAATGTCAATCACTATATTCCGGTCAAAGTCTATGTATGATTAATATTTCATATCATCCTCATATTAACCAATTAGAATTTTTATATGGTAGTTGAATAAGAAAACTTTTTGAATAATTGTTTCACTTTAAGATGTATTACCAAACGCGAAAATAACGTTTAGCTGGATTTGGGCTGGTTGACAAATTTGATACAATTATCTTAAAATACAATCCATCAAGATTCCATGGTTCAAATTACATAATGTACTCTTTGTGTCTAACACATTCTTAGCTCTTGTAATTTACAGCAAATATGTGACATTACAGTAACATTAACAGTGTAATCTTTGCAGAATGACTCTTTGCTTAGCAATTATCATTTTACTACATCTTATCACATTTCTTCAAAAGTAAATCTTCTGTGGAACATCTTTTTAAATAAAATAAATCATCCGCTGAAATGTGCAAAAAACGCCAAATGATCAATTTAAGTATTACTTTTATGTATGCTTTATCAAACTTAAGATCTTAGCTTAAAGAATAATTCGATTGACATTATCATTTGTGGCATTTTCTCAAGATTAATTAGTCAGATCATGTATTGCAGTCTGAGTGTTCGTTGCAGCAGCTGCATTATTTTTGTTTATGAATATTTATAATTAACGCATTGTATCTAGTAGGACATTTTGCTGCAGTCTCAGACATGTCTGACCGTTTACTTGTCACATAAATAACATAAAAGAGCTGACAATGCAGATGCCTTTGAGAGTGAGCTCAACTATCTGATTCGTATGAGTTAGGTTATGAGGAGAAACCGGCCCAATCTCTCAGGCAATTAGCAACAACGATTTCCTAATTCTGCTTTCAGCTTTTAAATACATTATTAAAGTGTTACTGATATCATATTATAAATATTATAATTGACAAACTGATGTTTGAACTATTCATATGATTTACATATTAACTTTAACAAGTACATGCATTTTATAATGATAGTTATACGAGAGATATATTTCAGAAATGATATATTAAACTAATTCTACCAAGGCGGCAAGTACTCTATATTTTTTTACCTCTCTTATACTATTAACGCAAGTGTATCATGTGGCTAACAAATTTCTACTGTTACAGGGTAACAGTATTTTTAATAATATAAAATCTTGTCACATGGTCTATTTTCTAAAGAAAAGAAAATAAAGTCATCATAATAACCATCACAGTAATTGTTCAGGTAATTAAATAAATAACACATGGGTTTGTGAGTAACAGTAAAAAAATCATCCGGGGAAAATACTGTTACCCGAGGCGTTACCCACAAACACATGAGTAATTTTATATACTGATGGATATTCAATGAATACTTATCTTTAAAGTTGCGTTCATATACAGAGATGAAAAAGTCCATTTAAGATAGTTAGGGGGTAAATGTTAAAAATTGCTTATGATATAATCATTTTTATTTTTATTTCAGAGCAAAGGAAATTGAAATTCCTCTCTTTCAGTTTTGAATTACGCTTATAGATCAGAGCAGGCCAACTCTAATTGAAACTTGGGTGGTCAATAAAGTAAATAAATTGACTGGAAAACATTTTAAGCGCGGTACTCATTCATAACGATTCAAGCATAAGTTATCCTTAAGTTAGATCTTTCCTTATATGTATATATGTGTATGTATATATATCCTAATACGTTCAAATAGCGGATAGGAACATGTATGCACTTGTCTATCGCATGAATACCACATGTCCGATGGTTACAAGGATTCTCAAATCTATAACTTTCTTCATGTATCTGTTTCTTGTAATTGATACCAAACTGGTTTTCAAATACAGTTAAACAATAGAAGATTGAAGTATAGCATAAAAAATAAAATAAATCCTGACTGTTGATAGAAATATTATTTTATTAATTATATTCTCAGAGCAACTAGGTTGATATTCGCGGAAATATGAAAATGAAGAGAATATTAAAAAAAATTATTTCATTTCTGTGGCATCTAATTTGCATATCATAATTTGCATCTTTATAGAAAATACTTCTTTGCAATAAAACGTCTTTTATACATAATCAGTGACAATATGCATTTACAAAATTAATCTTTGATTTTGTTTTATGACATCTCAAAGCAATGCATTTAATTGTTGAATATGATTTTCCAAAAGTAGATTTCTTTGCAAATTTCTTTTGTACTTTTTTAGATTTAGAATTGAAAAGTATTGTAAAATTAATGATTTCGATCTTCTTATATGCAGAAAAAAATATATGAAATTATCAGATATGTATCTAGTAAAAAATATAATAATAATAATAATTTGGTCAGGTTTTATAAATTTAGTCATGTTAGTATTCCTTCTAAATTCTATAATATAGCTTAAAGCTGTTTAAATAGGCCAATTTGAAAAAAAAAATGTTTGGTTGATACAGCGTGTTTAGTACTGGTTGACTTTTTTTAAAAAGTAAACTTATTTAATGCACTTCTAATTCATCAATCTATTAAACATTTTAAACAAGTGGCATACTGTCATCAGTTGCTGAATGATCCATCTCTGTTATGATGCTTAACTGGCTTTGAACAATTAATACATCAGTTATTCTCTTACAATACTTACTTGTTAGTAACTTTTATCTTTTATCGCTTGCTTGTTCATGTATGTGTATACAATATCCTTGGAATATTTGGCTGGTCTCCGTTTAACATTTACATGCTAGATTTTTTTTAATAAACAAATGACAAAATTGCTTTAAATACAACACCAATAATACCACATTAAAACTTAAATTTAACAAGAGAAGCATAAATATAAAATGAATTAATGCAATCACATGTTAACAAAAACAATACCAATAACAACTTATCTTAAACTTGCATAGCAAGAGAATCATGAAAGGTCATATACCGATATACAATTGACTAATGCAATCACATTGTAAGATTAATGTAACATTCTACATGTAATCTAGAAATAAAAAAAGAGAAATAACTTTGAATTTGCTGAATCATCATGTCTCTGCCTGGTGATCTCCCTTAACAAAAGTTAAATGGCAATTCATATTTGTATCAAAACGACAAAGCTAAATATAAGCAAATAGTAAGATATTACTAAGTAATTATGAAAAGATAATGCATGTAAAAATCCGAAAAAAGCATGCTTCAAGTTAGACAGACTAAAAATTAAATGTGCGGATTTATCTGAAAGGGAGACATAGGCAATTTTCTTTGGATTTTTTCATTCATTATTCCGTAAATGTAAAGTAGACATTTTATAGTAGAAAACAAATAGTTTGTACAAAAGTGTCTTTAAAAAGGATTAAGATAAAAATGTTTGATATGTTTCAAAAATATTTTATTCAGTATTTCAAAGTGTTAAAACAAATATGACAGTTTTAGATAAATCTTAATTGTTTGGTGTACAGTGGTGCATTAAATAAAAACCTAATAAGGCGTGAAGAACAATTCAATAAATGACATTATTATTACATAACTGCAAACTGATCTCTATGATCAAAAGATTGTTAAGGCTGAAACAATGTTTTATTCACGAAAAAATGTTGGTATATTGTAAAACAAAAAGCAAAAAATCAACGAATAGTTTGTTCCAATTAATGCTTTCATAATCAAAATGCAAGTCCTGTCATATGATATAAATATGTAGCAAACTTCTGAATGTTGTACATGTAGAAACATGCATTGAAACATTCAAAATGCACGAAAAAAGGTTACTTGAAATAACGCTACGTAAACTATGATTGAAAGTTTTTTATAGAATAAACTAGTGCATGTACTCTATTGTAGAAATATATTTACACGTATAAATATCCCCTTATTCAGAAAGTCATATTATTCAAAATACCAATTAAATAGATTACAATGTACTTGTAAAACTGTATTTATATCATACAGTTAGTCTGTAAAGACATACAATTATATACAAAAAAAATATATTTCACATTTGATAATCTGAGGCTGCACCAAGATATATCAAGAACCCAATGGATGGAATATACGTCAAAAAGACCATTGCATAAAATAAAAGCTTATCAATGGCAAGACTCACATCTTGCCACGTTATTGTTTGACCATCAGCGTCTTTATTCTCGGCCTGATTTACTTTTATGATGTGTGTCTTGGTTGCTTTTGTCTTATCATGTGTTGGTGCATTACCGTATTTAATGTCCTGAATACGCTTGTCCCTGTCTTGTTCATCGCTCACTTTGTTATTTCTAGTACAATTTGAAAACATAACGAGTGAAATATGCCACGGTCTCTTGGGAACATTTTCCTTACGGTGATATACAGCTAGATTAAGTATGGCCAAAACGGTTCCTATAACACTCACACATATTCCAGCCAGAATGTAACAACACATTAATGATATCGGTTCCGAGGACTTTGGCATTTCATCAGAAACTACAGTCAAGAAAACTGCTAAGGATAACATTATCGTAATTGCATAGCTGACGCGTTCACCAGACTCGCTAGGTAAAAGAAAAACGAGGCAGGTAAGTCCGGCGATTCCATTGATTGGTAAAATAATGGTTAGAACATAAAAGAGTGATTGCCGTTTCAGTTTAAACCGAAATTTCGCCATTGAAAATGCAGCCGTGTTTATAGTGTAATATGATGTATCTTCAAGAACCCATTCAGCGTTTGGGGTGAATGACTGAGTTCTTACCCCATCAATTATCGTAAATAATAGTTGGTCCGTTGTATAATCTAAGGGGAAAAATCCGACATCACATATCTGTTTGTCGAAAGGCCAAAATTTCATATTAAATCCACATGAACTTTTCAAAACAGCGCCTGGATAAAACAGTGCGAACCCGCTTGGAAAGAAGATTACATGATTATTAACCGATCCCATTGTAGCAAATTCAATAGGCGTTCCAAGTGAAATGGAAGGAGTCCAGGCTTCACTTGTTAAAATAAGAATTTTAGAAATGCCACCATAATCAGCAGGATCCCATTGCATCCGCTCATCTATCCACACACATTGAGTTGCAACTGTTATTGTGATCACACCCCTTACGTCGTCGATTTCAGGTATTCCGAATAGATCAAGCGTTACATTTACATTTACCACATCCGATTGATTATTTATCGGTCGTACATCTTTATGGTAGTTTGCTAAAAGATCCGATCTTAAACGTGTAGCATTTTCATAAGTTTGACTTGAAACAGTCCCAAATATTACGAACACAAATACGTTTAAAAACGTAGAAATATACAGACGTTTTATATCCATTTTTTCAAACAGTCCGACGAAGAAGATTAAAAACTGTACATTCGTTTAAACACATTTTCCTTTATAATTATTATAGAAAATCAATGCGTTATTTTTAACAAAACAGTTGTAGTGTTTTACTTTTTATTGGACCATTATTTTCAACCCTGTTGCGTTAATTGTGATCGTTCATGCATGTAATTTTACTGATTAATTACAAGATCGGTCTTTCAGTATAAAGCTATAAATTTAGGGTAGTCATTATCTGCTTTAAGATAATATTAGATATCTATTGTAAAGATAGTTAAAATACGAGTGACCGAATGTAAACACTTTCGTTTTATTGTATGAACGCGTGAATTTAATCCTCTTTTAAATAGTCCTGGTATTGTATAAATGAATAGCCTAACATACTTTTTAAACGTAAATTTAAAAATGAACAAAAACTGCGTTGTAATAAAAATATTTATTTTTGTAATGTATACGCCTTTTCTTATTTATGAATTTCCATTTAAAAAGAACTTAAACAAATAATAACTTAATGGTCAAACCATACTTAAAGTGACTTTTGAATTGTAATTGTTGTTAAACTTTTTTTGTGGTGAATACGTCACTCAATTTTTGAAGTTACATTTCTGTTTTAATATGTTCCAAAACTTTTTATTCTATGGTCATACTTTTTTACGTGGTCATGAAAATTTTTTGTGAACTTATTTAAGATGTATAATCATTCAATTAATATACAATTTTGTGATTTTTAGTTCTGGATATGAATGGACTGATGAAGTATTAAACGAAAAACCCGTGATTAACGGCACATAAACAAACTAAAATGAACCAAACCAGTAATATAATGGGATACGGTAGAATATTTAGTCAAAGTCTATACATATCCTGATGTTGCAATCGAATTAGTCAAGTTTTTATTTAAATATTGCATCTTTTGAGTTTGAGATAGTGTAGTTCAATTTAATATAGTGTTTTAGATACGGAAATTATGAATTTTTACTTAAATACGCAACCAACTATTAGTTTAAAAAATAATTAGTTAAATAATCATATTTAAAGCATATCATACCATCACAAAAAAGTTACCTCTCTGGCGTGGGTTCGATCCCCGGGAGATGCTTTGGTAGTTAAGCACGGAGGAAGGTAGTCTAGTACTGGTGTAACTCTCCAGGAACGATGGTTAGGAAACTACCCGCCTATGTTACTGAAATACTGTTGGAAAAAGGTGTAACAAACAATCAAAATCAAAAAACAGAAAACAAATAAAAAACGAAACGAAACAAAGGAGCCTAGTTATAATTTTTAAAAGTTTTGTTCAGTATATCAGCTTACTTCAAAAAGTCCAACCTAAATTATATATTTACAAACGTGTTATGTTAAACTAAATTCGCAGGGAGTCTTTCTTTATCAGGAACGTTTATGCGATCGAAATAGACTTTGTTCAATCGTAATTCTGGTTTGTACGTAAACAACGGATAGTTTTTCTTTCATTGATTTCTATACCCTCCCCCACACTCCAGAATAAATTATTACTTTTACATTAGGCAGTCCGGCTTAACATGAGTCAACCGTTGAAGTGTTCAGTATATTACATAAGTGTATTAAGACATTATATTTTTTACACCTGACTGAGATTTTAGATGAAACCTAAGCAGAATACTAGAAGTATTTTTATCAACTTCTCAAAATAACTGATTGCTTAAAATACAGTATTTTTCCATGTAAACCCGTGAACCGTTATCCGTAGCCACCTCACTTTTTATATTTCTTGCAATCATTTTAGTTAATATCATAACAAACCAAAAACAGCACAAACATTGTTTTTTTTAACAGTATTATCTTTTTTTAGCTAGTTCTAAATTTAACAGAATTGTAAAAAACTTAGTAACGTAAAATTGTATGAAGCTTATGAATTCACCCCAAACACCTCTCGTTAGTAGAGCAATCTAGAGAAGGCGTATGTTTCCCTGTAAATTAGATATGGCGAAGAAGATACCTTAAAATCGCGAAGTTTGACCTTTATTCAGAATATTCTTGACCTTTGCATTATAAAAACAATAGGTGTGGGTGATAGTTTACTTTTACTTTATCTACTGCTGTTAGCAGCTTTATAAGGATGATCACATGCTAGTAATTATGACAACAATATAGCCTTAACCATCAGTGCTCCATTTCAAAGTGAATTGTCTGTCATTAGCATACTAGAAATTAAGCATTGTTAACCGTGCGGAAAACGCTGTGATGGTTTGAAAAAAATCTTAACTTACTCTAGTATAACAGCATTTAAGTAATCTTAATTTTACCTGTAATTAGTGAAGTATGGGTCTACATGCCAATAACAATATCTTGATAACGTCACACTCAGAATTAATATTGATTTCATAGACCAGACTTGTAAATTTGATATTGCACCATTAATACAATATACAAATCATAAGTTGTACAAACAAGCAAACCGTTTTAAATAATTAGATATATTAGTAAAAGCTTTTCAAAAACTAACGGGATATTTTGATTATTGTTAAGTTCTTGGACAAGACAAATACTTGTTAAATATTGTTACTTATAATTATAATAATTTCTACTCCTTTATAATTTTTATTTCATCGTTTGATAATACTAAAACACATTTACATTCAATGGTATTTGAATCTCTTTTGTTTACAACCACCAAAACAAACAATGCTGTTTCGATTTTTTATCATGGTATACGTCTGTAGAAATGAAAAATAAAAGTTAGTGAAATATAGTTTTAAAATAAATGACATAAAATGCTTTATACATGTTTGTATAGATAAGTTATTTAAAACTTAAACGAATACTAGAGGCCTTTATCATGGTATATGTCGTTTAAAATGAAAACACTGCTTAGTTAGTATGAATGAATGATATAAAATTCTAAAGAAAGATGGAGAACTCAAAACCTTAACGAATCGCAAAAAGGTATTATTGCAGACTCGGTTTCATTAGGCCTGTGCTTCTTCCTGCAATACTTTTATATTTTTCATTTAATTTTTTTTTAAGGTTTAGATATTATTACATTCAATTACTGATTTCTAGCTATTTTGACTCCCTCAGAAGTCCCAGCAACATTTCAAATAAAACCACTCGAATAATGGCGGAAGGAATGATGTTCCTTTTTGGCAGTCAACGGATTGTTCTATGGGTTCGTAGAATATACTTATCTTAGAGGTAAATGAGAAGTTTTGCATCACTTTTAAACAGGCACATATCATTTGGTTTATGTCAACATTACGTGAAACACTATCGATTAAGAAATGAAACAATCTCAGGAGAGCTGTGAAAGCAGAGAGTAAATATTGATGACGAAAACAATGAATTATGTAACAATATCCTTACAATATAAGACCTATTTATTAATTTATTAACGTTTCAAACAAGAATGTAGCAAAAAATATAAATGCAACTTTCAATACATAGATTTTGTAGGTTTATGATTGGTTTGTTAAGATATCTTTCTTAGATATAAAACTAAAGATAATACAGAGTAAGTGAGTTTTTGGTTCTATGCCTTGTTGATGTCTTAGAGGTCTTGTTATGAGACCGTCGCAATGCCTTGTTTATATCTGTGAAGATTTGTTTTATTACACTGAACATTTAAATAGTATCCTACATGTTCAATTCTTCAAATTTCAATCATGAATTGACACATCAAATTGCTGCAATTTATTTGATTTGTGCATTTTTTTTTACTTTTCAATTTGTATATTTTCATATCATATTGTTTTTTACTTATTTAAAACAATAAGACTTTGTGAAAATTTACAAAAAATATTAAAACTATAATAATAATACACAAACAGTATTGCCATTAAAGTTGTTTTTCCTTGTAAATGACCTGAACTTGCGTATATACGTATTTTATTTTTTTTTAAAAACACACAAAACTGTATGTCTTTTGCAAAATCTATGCAGTTTGCTTTACCTGTACCTTATAAAAGCACTTTAGTTGCATCTTGAATCGATAAAACCTCGTTTCCTTGTACACAATTGGATGCAAAAAGAGGGCATTGAACGGAATGGATAATGAACATCATTATTAGACGATTGAAAATAATTAAGTACTATCCATAAAAAACGTTCGAATCGTTATTACGAAGGTTGTGTTAAATAGGATCATTCACGATTGTCAAACAAAAATAAGTGAAATTCCAGGATTAATATATCATACATATCTGCAAGTCAGAAACATCAAGGGTAAAAAGTACATACATATTAAAATGGTTCGGGGAACAAGATTGCAAATGTTTATAGAGGTATCACAAAAAAGAAAACAAATATGTATGTCATATTTTAACCATGATAATAAGCTATCATGGCAATTATGTAATAGCAATATGTTAGATAGATAAATCGTTGGTATTGATTATTATCCGGCTACTTTGTGTCTCAGTAATAAAAATACTGGAATAATGAAATCTGTTAATGTCATTTGGAAGGTACACACATAGATACTAAAACAATTTAATGCAAAACAAGAAAGAAAGAAAATGAGTATTCCTGTATTCCATTAAATAATCTTAAAAACATTGATAAAGTAGACAAACGCAGGATACATGGAATACATGGTTGATTTGTTATTTATACATTTTGGTTAAATCATATTCCAACCATGAACAGCAAATGAGGACACAATCAGCTTATACTTGCTCCTGTTAGACATCACAAACTTATTCAAGGGGATGATCTTGATTAGCAAGACCTATGCCTTTATCATTTTGTGTGTGTGGAGCAAACTTAACGCCTTAGGCAGCAGACAGTTTATTGCATGATTGCTGCTACTGTTCACTGAAATTACGTCGGTCAATGAAAGATTTATACCGGTGTATTTATACCGGAATAACCATGCAATTTTGTTGTTTTTAATGCTTTCGATGGTTAATTTTTCCAGATATTTATACATCACAACAGCAGGTGCTAAGTGCTCAATGACAGTCGTAAAAAGTTGCCCCGTACTTCACTTTAGTGTTGTTATATTTTTCTGGTCCTTC